CCCATCCCAGGCCTGAAAACCTCCCCTCCCAAGGCCCAGAGGTCCAGTGCTGCCAGTGGAAACACCAACGCTCCCTCAGCGCTCTGAGCACCCAGTCCGGTGCTGTGTCTCAATTCCAATACTTCTGCACGTCTATGTAGTACACGATGCACAGTACGTACTCACTGCTAATTCCGGCATTGTTGTGTCAATTGTCATTTACAACCGGAGGAGCATTAGTGCCGCTACTGGCACATTTTTCCCTGGATTTCTTCACAATATTAATCAAAAGTGGACCGACGTCTACTTTTTATCACTTGTGTGTTTCATGTTTCATGTTTCATGCGTGGTGGGAATTACAGCATCCACGCTGACGTTGTTTATTCCTCCTCACAGAAAATGTTCCTGTATGTTCAAGTGGTCCCTCCCTCCCTTCCGCTACGTAGCGAAAATGGCGACCACTGAGGGTGAGAAGTTCCACACTCAGCTTTTTCACCGTTCTGAGTCCACCATTAATTATGTACTCAAAATTGTTAGTGTAAGTATGGAAGTATGAGTATGAGACACAGCATGGGTGTCCGACCCGACAGAAGGGTGTGAAAATTGCTTTATTTATCCAGTGTATTGTGTCATAGTGGAAGGAAACTCATTAAGCACGTGGGAGCCTCAACAAAAAGACTTGAGATGAAAGGTATTTGGTCCATGACGTTGGCCAACAGGAGCACAGAGCCCTCTTAAGTGCACAACTATAAATATAGGAAAGCTAAAGAGCAATCATGTTTTATTTCATTCCAGTGAACATGTAACAATTTGACTGTAACCCTTGTGTCAGGAACATTGTACCAAATTACAGTAATCACTCCTCTCCCTACTGACTGTGAAGGGAAGAGACGGAGTCCACCTTCACCGCCAAATGATGATGAATGATTCCATTTAGAACCATGAATACGTAGGCCTACATTACACTCTTTGTTGGTGCTGTCAGGTGGAGTCAATCCCTGGAACCTTTTACTGATCATCTATGTCAGAGTCCTGCACCGGGTCGGGTA